GGACCCCAGTTTTGAAGTTCAGTCAGGAGAGAGAGGGGATTCAACAGGTTACCCCTCCATACCACCCCCCCCGCACACACACACCCTCAAAAAACGGACAGTTATTATAATTGCATCCTTGTAGCTGAGAAAAAAAAACATTTCTGTGTTGGTGTAGCATGGAAACACAACCTGAGGGTATTTCTGCAGGAAAATATAGTTTACCTCTGTAAAGAGTACAATATGCTGTACCTGCCGGGTTTTGAATGCAGTCTGTTATCGGAAACGGTTGTAGTGCTGCCCTCACAATGGGAGTCAGACTGCATTCCTCAGGTATAGCTCACCTCCCTGAAAGCCTGCTCAGACCTCAGTGCCTGTCAGGGTATCTGTGAAGCAACAGGCAGATCTAATTGGAGATGTAGTTTCCAGATCTGGATACAAAAAATATAGTGTCCTTTTCACAGGAAGAACTGGAAATCACAGTAAACTGGATTGGCAACTATTTAAACATTCAGCTCTTCTTTCCTTCAGTTGTAACAGGCCAGTTCCGGTCCTGGAGGCCCAAACACCTGCTGGTTTCTGTACCAGCCCAGCTCTGTTACACAGCTCAAAACTTGATTGAGTTAATTACAGGAGCCATTTGAACTGTTTGATTATTTTCAGCCTTTAATCTACGGCATTTCCCCAAGTAATATACATTTCCAAACCTTTTGATTTGGAAAAACAAAACTTACAAACGTTCCAATCAAGCAATGTACTAGTTCAATTAAGGCAATTAAGCTCAACTGGAATGAAAACCAGATCAGCAATTAAGCTCAGCTGGATTTAAATCAGTCTGATTTTATTGCAGTATTTGAATTCTCCAAATTTGTCGCAGACAAAGGGGACAATTTAAAAAAAGTAGTGAAAGAGCATTTAGATTTCAAAATCACAGGCTCTTCATTACACAAAGAGCGGTGAGGGTCTGGAGCAAACTACACAGCCCCTTGGAATGGGAAGTGCTTGTCCGGGAGCCTTCAAGAAATGGATGGGTGAGATTGTTGGATAGACGGCTGAGTGAGTGAATAAATGAATAAATGAATGAGTGAGTGAATAAATGAATGACTCCTTTTCTTCGTCCCAGATCTACATTGAGCTGGATGTGCGGTATCACCCTGTGGAAGGTGCGGCAGGCAATTGGGCAGAAGACGACTTCCTGTTCTACGAGGAAGCTGACAAGTGAGTGGGAGACCCACACCCTTCTCCACCCCCATCAGCAGGGAGCACTGGGGTAACGCACCAAACCCACGCCCCCGTGCTCATTATATTCCCTTCTGACTGAGCGTCCCTCTTTCCTTCCCACACAGCTCTGGACTCGTCATCAGAAACGTCGGCTTCTCCGAGCCTGGGTAAGCTGCTTCTTCACGAAACAATGTGTTGGAGATAGGGGAGGGGTTAGGGCTAGGGTCAGGATCAGGGTTTTACTTATTAATGTAAAGTCAGGATGCTCGCTGTAGTCTTTATGTCTGCCCGTTAATGTATTTCGTTTATAACATTTGAATAAATGCAACACCTATTCTGAACTCTGGATAGTTCTGTACGATATATAAAACAGTAATCTGGTGTTCCTCTCGAAGGGGGGCGAATGATCTCCATTGTCGCTCAGGGAAGAGAGGCTCTGATGTTGAAAAACGAAGCATCAGACCTTCCTGTTCCCGCAGCTGTGTTCTCAGAGGCTCTTGCCTCTGGACGGATAATCTTGCAGGAGTCTGGAAGCTTGAGGTCGGGCTTTTGGAAAACGAGCACTCAGGCTCTGCAGGGGCGGTGAGGGTAACGGTCCGGTAGAGGAGAGGAGGGGGGGGGGGCCCAGTCTTAGCTCCGGCCCCCCCGGTGACCCCCGGGCCTCCGGTGTTCCCAGGACCAGGCAGGCGATCCGGCCGGAGCGGCTCCACCGCGAGACGCGGAAGCTGGGCCGGAGCCTGGTGAAGACCGGCGAGGAGGACGACGAGGACGAGGACGACGACGACGACTACGACACGGCGGACCTCGAGTGCGCCAACATGACCTTCACCGCCATCCTCAGGTCTGTCCCGACGCTTCCGGTCTGCTTGTCCCCCCCAGTGAGGGTTATTCACCTCTTCCTCTCCTTACAAACACGCCTCTCGATGGGGAGCTCCAGCCGCTGGGGAAGCCCATGCTGAAGCGACAAGCCGCAATGCCCGGAAGCCCCTTTAGGGGGAGCTGGCTTGTTGTCTGAGGGTTTCTAATCGGCGCGCTTGTTTGCTCTTCCTCACAGCCGCTGCAGGTTCCTCTCCAGGCACGAGCTGGCCACGGTTCCCAGAGTGCAGAGCTTCCAGGTACAGCGCTCACCGCGCACACCAGGCCAGCTCTGGGTACAGCAGGGAACAGCCCGGGCCTCCGAAAATGATCGTAGTGGCGCATGTCCCAAGGGTTAGGCATTTAGAAACAAACTGCCATTAAAAATCAAGGCTTCCCGGACCCCCTCCAGGAGGGCCACAGTCCTGTATGTTTTCAGAAGAATTTCTCAGCTTTTCAGGTGCTGCTGGTTTAAAGAGGCATAGAAACCTGCTGGTCTGTGGCCCTCCAGGGCTGGACAGGGAACCCCACACTGCAACATGGAGATCTTCAGGTGGATGGATGTCTCCCAGCATGCAGGGAGATGGAAAAGCATTCCAGTTACAACACGCGTGAAAGACTGTGATGGGTGGTTCTTGATTGTCCTTGGTTGATTAGTAGATTGATTGATGTTGGGGTTCAATGGTGGAAAGAAGGTGGAGTATCTCTGTCACTTTGAGCTTGACCCCAGTAACATCTAGAAATGGGTTTGAGGTCCAGGGTCTCAGTCTTGGCCTTGTCCCAAGGAGGACAGGATAGTGCCCTGGCCTCTAGAAGTCCTTAGCTTATAAAACCTTAGCACTGATGTGAATGGGGTCTTGCCCTGACCCCATCAACACTGAAGAGCCAGCGTAGGAGCAGGAATGAGAACACGGCACGGACTTACCTGCTGCCCGATGGCGTCCTGTCTCCTCCCCCCGCCCCTGTCCCGCAGGTGAACGTCAACGTCATCGAGGCGCAGAAGCTGGTGGGAGTCAATATCAACCCGGCTGTGTACGTGAGGGTGGGGGAGGAGAAGAAGCACACGGCCACCCAGAAGTCCACCAACTGCCCCTTCTACAATGAGGTGAGCTGCCCGCAGCACACTGGCAGTGACGGGCAGAGCATGTGCCATCACTCTGACCCACTCCCACTCAGGACAGCTCTCTGGCATTCCTGAGAGCACAGTGTTGGTTACAGTGTCGCGGTGAGGTAGGCATTACAAGACAAAAACATTGGACACAACACGAGCTTCAACACTGAAGTAAAGCACACCGGTGGGGATGAAGACGCCTTCCCAGTCCAGCTTTCTCTTCACTGTCTCTCGGGGCTACTGAAGCAGAGACTTCAACAGGGAATTATGGGACCTTGAAGTTGTTCATCAGTTATCTCAGCCTTAAGGGATGCTAACCTGTTTGTAGGCTATTATAGAGCCGCATATTGTATTTCCTGTATTCTCAACTGCTGTTAACTGCTTGTCTCCAGGAAGCACAAGGGTAACCAGATTCCAATTAATGCCGTTGCAATTCCTCTGCTGTTATGCTAGAAGGTGTTATGACTCTTTTTTCCCTCTCTTTGTTATTTCCAGAATTTTATGTTTGAGTTCCAGGAGACCCAGGAGGTTCTCTTTGACAAAGTTATTGAGATTTCAGTAAGTGTCCTGTGTGTTTGAATTCTCCTCTCCTCCAGTGCCAGCGTATACAGGGAAAAGACTGCCATCACATTGCCTTTTCTCTTTGAGGTAGCAAAAGCCTCAAAGGACTTTCCAACACATTCCCAGCTTTTCCCTCTTGCCCTGCAGTTAATATTGGTTTGTTCAGGGACGTTGATGTGGGATGGTCATTTGTGGGCTTTCAAAATAGATGAGATTTTTACTTTGAGCTGATTTTGACTTTTTGCTGGGCCCAGCAAACTCACACAGGCTGTCCCAAATATCTTTCCCAGAACACCTCTATGCGTTAACGGTGCAGTTACCTGCCTGCAGAATGTAACGTTCCTGGGATCCACTCTTCCAGGTGGTTCACAAAAAGACCTTGGCGTTCCTGATGACCCGGATCGGAACCTTCAAGATTGACATCAGCACAGTCTACAACCAGCCAGGTAACCGTGAGCAGATCTTGCAGTGAGGGCTCCCCATTGCCCTTATGGCCTTTGCCCCTGTGGTCAGTCATGCAGCTGGGGCTGAAGGAGCTTGTGAGCTTCATTGCAACCCATTTCTAAATTGCAATTAAAACAATTGCTCAGTTAACTATTTAAATTAGCCTTATCTTAGCCAGATCTTAATCAGCTTAATCAGATGCAGGATGATGTTCAGAATTCTGATGCTGCAATCGGTGTATTAGCTCTGTTAGTGGTTTGTTTGCCTTTTTCTGTGGAATTTAAGCAATTCAACAGAGTTCTACGGTACGTTGATAAGTGATCTAGACACTGTCTTGTGAATTTGCACAAAAGCAGCAATGAGAACTGCAGAATGATCATGACCTGTAAATGCTGGTGAGAGGTTAGAAAACAGAAATCACCTGCATACAGGTCCTAACGCAACAGTGTGTGTGTGTGTGCGCCTCTCCCGGCTCAGACCACAGGTTCTACCAGAAGTGGGCCCCCATCACAGACCCGAAAGACACACGGACAGGGATCAAAGGTTACGTGAAGTGCACAATCAGCGTGGTGGCCAAGGGGGACTCCATGGGCATACCCAGCATCCCCACCGCGGGCAGCCAGAACGAAGACATTGAGAAGTGAGTGGCCCGCAGACCTGCAAGAGCACCATGGGGCCGGCCACCGCAGAGCGCAAGAAAGCGGTCCGAAGAGAGATGGAAAATACCATGCTCAGCTGGAAAAAAAACAGAACCGTTGTTTTTTCACTGGTGAATCAATCAATAATCAATTGGTCGTTAATTCCACTGCCTTTTTTAAATAATCCTCAAATTGTTAGGGATTCATCGATAATTGGCTCAGATATGCTGGGGACGGATTGTTCTGAAAACCACGGGAGTGGCTGGGAGGGTCTGATGACTGCACACCATGGATGCAGTATTCTGGTCTCGCCAGTTTCCTCTTTCAGGCAGCCGGTGCCCCTTCCCAGACTCCCCTGCCTGATTCCAGTGCCCTCTCGCTCCCTCCGCAGGAACCTCCTCCTGCCCAAGAGGATGCCGGCGGAGCGGCCCTGGGCCAAGTTCGTGGTGAAGGTCTACAAGGCGGAGGGGCTGCCCAGCATGAACTCTGGCTTCATGGGCAGCTTCTCCAAGATGATGGGCGAGAAGAAGGTCTTCATCGACCCCTACGTGCAGGTCACGTTCGCCGGCCAGCAGGTACGCCGCGGCGCCGTGACGCGTCTCTTCGACAGCCGGGGCCTGGAGCTCGTCGGCCGAGCGGGGAGCTGGTCAACACCGCCGGGTCTCGCGCCCGTCCCCGGGACGGTTTTCCCCTTGTTCGTGTATACGAATTCACAGTCAGGATGTCAGTGTACCGTACGAACAAGGCCATTTCCCACATCTCTTCGTGTGAGTTACTTGTGGCGGGATCAGAGACCAAAACTGCAAACAGCAATGGATGCTTCAGCCCGTCCCTCATAACTGGGCATGAAGAAAGACGTAACAAGACCAAAACCAACTTCCAGTTCCACCCTGGTCTGGTGAGAAATGGTAGAAGAGAGAATCCCAGTGCTCATACCGTGTGGAGGAATGCGACCCGGCTCAGTTTCAGAAAATATTGTCCTGCGTTCAAACGGACAGGCCAGGTCAGTGCTCAGGGCTCTGGACTCCCAACTTGAAGGCTTCGTCTGACCAACTCTTAAACCAGGATGAGCTCTGGCTTCTTGGGCCCGTTGAGCTAAGCAGCCACTAAACAGTGAGAGGTTTGCTCTTAGGCTGTTCCAGTTCTCAGCGGAACATTTATTTCATGACTTGTGAGAATGTTGAAACGTGATCCCTGTTTGTGTCTGCAGTCTTTTTCCAGGACGCCTCAGGGCTGTCTGTTCCTTTCACGATGCATGAAACAGTTTATTGTAGGTCCACACGGACACGCCCGCACACACCAAACACACACCCGCGCTCCCGGAATGTTTACTTTGTAGGATGTGGTCTGGCCATTCACTTGGTGCCCTCTATTTTCCTTTAATAGACTGACAGCAAACACACGGACATTGTTAAAACTGCGTCCTTATCAGCAGACCCATAGATTCCAACAGTGCCACACCAATTCTGGGAATAACACCAGGTCTTCCTGGATAATGCCATGCCTTATCGGGATGCAGTAGAAGGCAGGGTTTCCGCTCACACATCTCTCCCTCCACTTCTGACACAGGTCTACAAGATGATGAGTGCAGACACTGCTTCTGTGTCTTTATAAGCTCTGGGAAAGGGCTGTGTCTGTTCTCACAAGGCAAAGACACAAGGACATGTCCTAGATCCCTGATTCAGTGCTCTCCATTGTGGCCTGTGTGCAGAACAGTAGAGCCGGCCTGGGGCGTAGGGCTGTGGACGCCTTGAGTAAACTTGTTTGCTCTCAGCTGAGGCAGTGACGTCAGCCACAGTAGTTTGCTCTCAGTTGAGGCAGTGACGTCAGCCACGGTGGTGGATCACCACATCCAACATCCAGCTGTTTCTCTTGCTCTGGTCTCAAATTCATCGAAGGCCCAAAGTGACTTGTGATCTTTTACTAGACTCCCACAACCCCTTATCCAAAATCATGTCGCACACCGTGCAGAGGGGGATCAGTGTTCTGTGCTGCGTAGTTTCCTGTCAGAAAGGAGCAGGAAACCTAGACGCCGCACCGAGACGAGGCAGACCGTGTGACACTGCCAGGCCCTGAGCAGCGTGAGGTGTCGTTGTCCCCAGGGTGAGACGAGTGTGGAGAGTGACACCAACGCCCCCGAGTGGAACGAGCAGATCTCCTTCATCGAGCAGTTCCCCCCGCTGGCCCGCAGGATCAAGGTCCAGGTCCTCGACGATGCCAACATCGGGGACGTCGCCCTGGCCACACACTTCCTGGACCTGCACCAGATATCCGACCCCACCAGGAATGGTAACGCTGGTTATTTTCCCCAGCGGGACCTGCTTCTTTCTGGCTGTGTTTCGTGTTCCATTGCATTGACTCATTATTCATACATGGCTGAGGCTTTCAAAAGCTTACAGTACACCTACCCGTTGACACCTAGGTACACAAACAAGGTAAAGCGCTGTGCTCAAGGGTACAGCGGCATTGCCAGGAGAGAAGAATCCTAATCGCTGCTGCACACTGCCATCCCCCTGTTTGTATATTCTGATTCACAGTCAGGGATTGTACAAACAGGGCCACTTCCCGAGCAATTTCCTCCAGTGCAAAACTGACTTCCCCTCTTCTAATAGCAAATACTCTTCCAAATCGATGCCAGATGGGGCAAAAAAAAAAAAACCATTAAAATTTGAAAGTGCCTCTTGCATGATGCATGATCTCCAGGCGCTGTACCATAAAGCAATCAAATTGGAAAATGGCAGGCACACAATCATTAAAACGGTCGATTAAACAGAATTGAAAGGCTTACAGGCTCTGGAATGGGCTGGGAGATCCTTCCCTAGTCCCGCATGACAGAGAAGAAGGCCTGATCTCCCAGTGGTCGGAGCCTCGTACCAGGAACCAAAAGTGGGCCGGTGGTACCATCACCATCACGTCTCTGGTCATCCCTAGGGTTCCACCCCACCTTTGGGCCTTCCTGGATCAACCTGTACGGGTCCCCGCAGAACTCGGTCCTGAACGACATCCACCGGGAGCTGAACGAGGGGCTGGGCCAGGGCATCTTCTACCGCGGGCGCATCCTGCTGTCGCTGGCCGTGGAGGTGTACTCTTCGCCCACCGCCGTGGTGGAGAACAAGGCCATGGCCGCCGTCAAGAGCACCTTCAGCAGGCTCACCCTCAAGAAGAAGAGCAAGAAGTCCAAGGAGAAGAAGAAGAAGGACAAGGAAGGTAGGCACCTGGAGGATGAGAGTCAGTGTCACTGGGGCAACGACATCCCCGCGGACGATGTCATCACACGGAACAGTGTTCTGCTTAGAACAACACCGTGTGTCTAAACAGCTTGTTCACGTTCAAGACTTGTAGCCTGCATAAGGCATAATTGATGTTCATTAAACATCAGAGGCGAGGGCAACTATTGTTAAAACCAAATAAGTGCCTAAAGTTCCAGATATCTTAGACTTTGAAGACAGGAGCAAACTGGAGAGTAGGGGCTTTGGGACTGGTCCTGCCCAGGCTTGAGGTGTAGGGTTGGTGGGATGGATTCCTGGTTGGGTTAGGGGAGTAGAGGTGTTGGACAGAGTATTGTTTGTTGGACTTTGGGAGTAGGGTCAGTGGGACACAGTTCTGCCTGGGTTTGGGGAGTGGGGTTAGTGGGACACAGTTCTGCCTGAGTTCGGGGAGTAGGGTCAGTGGGACAGTGTCCTGGCCGGGGGTTGGGGTCTAGGGGCAGTGGGGAGGGTCCTGGCCGGGGGTTGGGGTCTAGGGGCAGTGGGGAGGTGGGGAATGTCCTGGCCGGGGTTGGGGACTAGGGGCAGTGGGGGAGATCCTGGCCGTGGTTGGGGTCTAAGGGCAGTGGGGAGGTCCTGACTAGCCCTCTCTGACGTGCGTCTGCCGTGTTGCTGTTTCGGTGCAGTGGCGCAGGGGCGCAGTGGTCCGGAGGAGGAACCCGAGGACTCCAGCTCGGAGGTGCCCGGGGCAGTCACTGTGGAGGTGGAGGAGACTCACCCCCTCCCCGAGGTCAGACTCGCTGCCCCCTCTGTTCCTGACGGACTGGGGATCCAAGCCTCTTCACTGCTGTCCGCACTCTCCTGCTCCTGCTGTGTCTGATCAGCTGCTGCACAGAAGCCTTTTATTGGCAGAACTAAGATAATTGTTGTTTTTTTTTGTGATGAGATCTACTGGAATGCAATGAAAATATAAAACAATAATAAAAAGGCAATGAAAAGAAAGCTACTCTACTCTCATCCCAGCTCTATTTGGTTGGCCTGAGGAAGTTTCACTGTAATAGAAGAGAGAAATGAAATGAACTGGGTAGGAAATGGGCAGCCATTTCACATCTTTTCATGCCTTAATTGAACAGAGAGGCATTAGAGGCTAGAATGTAATAGGAGTTTCCTAATTAATTTAGTGCTAATTTATAGCACATCACTTGAAGTGTTACCAAAAATTAAACCAAGAATCATAAACAAAAGCTAAAACAGCAACAATTTAAAACGATCTTTCATTTTCCAGCAAAGTGTTTATTTTCACCCTTTGTTTAAGGCACACAGCTTCCTTTTGGTTTAAAAGGCCATCTAAATATTATCTGGATCTTTTCACAATCCATGCTTTTAGGACGTGTCGCTGGCAGAGGGAGAGCCCATCTGAAGTCAAGCCTCACCCCTCCCCTGTCCGTTTTCTCTCCTGCAGAACTTCCTGGGGGAGAAGGAAGAGTTTCTCCTGTTCGCCTCTCTCTTCGAAGTGACGATGATCGACCCCTCCGTAGGCGCCAAGCCCCTCACCTTCGAGCTGTCCATCGGTACGTCCCGGCCTGCTCGGGGAGGCCCGTCTCTCCCGTGCTCCTCCCGGGGCCCAGGCGTAAGAGCTGCCGCGGTTGTCGCCCAGGTAACTACGGCAAGGCCGCGGACGTGGTGGTGAAGTCCAAGAAGAGGGCGGCCAGGGAGGCGCAGGGGGAGGACCGGCAGCCCCTGCTGGAGGAATCCGAGGACGAGCTGGAGCGCGTGGAGGTCAGCGCCCCCGGGAGCAGAGACAGGTCCGTCACGGGCCCCCTGAAACCACAGCCCACGGAGTACGACAGGTAGGACCGCCAGAGCAGGGGGCGAGGGGTGCGATCGTGTGACAGGACCGATTCTGTCTAAGCCTGTGTCTGCACAGCCATTTTTTCCATCATTTAAAGGGGCAGCACAGAGGTTAACGCTTCCAGGGTACAGAGTTCAATTCCGAATTTGCTCGTTCCCTCCGTGTTCCTGTGGGGTTTCCTGAGCTGCATCGGTTTCTTCCAGTGCTATCCCACTTCCCAGAAACTTCGAGAAGTTTCATTGGCTATTCTAAATCGTCGTTTTCTCCATTGCCCCGTGTTGGACTGGCGTCCCATCCAGTGAGGGAGAGAGCTTGTGTGCTGTCAGCCCTCAGGCAGACCTACCACCCTGAGGTCCCAGGAAGAGAGGTTTCCTGTTGACAGATGATATATGGAGTTCAGAGCCGTTACCTGCTCTGCTGCTCAGTCTGGCTCTCCGTGCTGTGTCACAGGTCTTTTAGCTGTGTCCCCCTGCTGTATGAGAAGCCCTGTCTCTACGTGTGGAACTACTGGGAAGACTACAACTTCCGCCTCTACGCGACCAATTGGCTTTCCAAGATGGCCGACAGACTGGTAGGTCTCCACCCCAGCAACGGTTTTGGGCTCAGCGGTCTGTGTGACCAAAGCCGTGGTAGTTGCTGCTCTTTCGTGTATACAGTATCTCTCGCTCTCTGTCTGATCCCTCTCGCCCCGCCTGTCAGGAGCAAGGCATTGACGAAGTGGAGAAGCTCTTGAAGAGGCCGAAGAGCAGAGCCAAGGAGCGGCTGGTGGACGTCCTGCTGGAGTTTGTGGCCAGCTGCAAGTAAGTGCTGCTGCGGGCGCCGCACCCTCCCCTCGAACCCCAGCCTCAGCTCTGGAGCTCTGATGCTCCACACCACTTGAGATGAACACAGTGGTATCTCGTCGGCCGCAGGGATCAGGGCCTAAAAACCCCTGTGGCGAAGACAACCTCAGCTGTAAAAATCTATAACCTAATAGGCAAAATAGATGAGGTGACAAGGCTGTGGTGACACACCGTGACAGTCTACCAAAGCGATCTGTCAGCTCACTGAACTATAACACCAATGAATGCAGCTCGTCAAAAGCGCTAGAAGGAGAAAACATTGCTTGTTGTGCAATAGCGTATTTTAAATAGCATTATTTAAAATCCAAAGCGTGGGTTTGAAACTACTGTATCTTCCCCCTCCACCAAGAGCATGGAGAGCTCGTCTAAAGCGATTGCTGAGCGCGCAGTCCTGATCACTAACATGGTCGGCACAAGAGAGAGAGACAGTAACATCCTTCACACGCTGGCCGTAGATCAGTCCTGACTGCAGTCCTCGGGGGCCAGCAGATTCCTGCTTTTCTGTCCACCCGAGCCCTTAATTGCCCATTACCTTCTTGATCACATCATTTGCCCCAATTAGACAGTTTGAAGCCTTTCCTTGTTCTTAAAAAAGTAAAGATTTAAAGAGACCTATACACCTGGCTGACAGAGGCCCCTGAGGACCAGGGTTGGGCACTGCAGCTGTAGGATCCACACCAGCTACACAGATCTGACCACTCCGAGTAAACAGCTACCGTCCCTCCTGGCTTTCACCCTCGAAGCTGCATCGATGCAAATCTTTTTGCCAACGGTCGCCAAACCTGGTCACACTGGAAAAACTGTGTGTACTCAAATTGCTTGTCTGAAAAATCTGCAGTGGATGAGGGGTCATTATAATACATTATGGAACAACCTATAGGAGAGCCCCAGCAGCTCTGCATCATCTCACCTGTCTCTGCAGCTACAACCTACAGTGTACTGTATGTAGTATAATGCTGTTTCAGTGCTGACACAGGATATTTTACATACTCTGATGCTTTTAAATAACCAGTATTTTAGTGACCCGGTTATGGCTGCTCTTTGACTTAGGTTTAGGGCTGGAGTATTCATGTGCAGGTTAGGGCTGAGATCTAGGCTGGGTGTGCTCTAGGTAAGTGTGCTCAGGTGGACAGCAGTAGTCAGAAGTGGCCTGCCGATGACCCGAGAGCATGTAGTTAACTTCACACACCAGCAAAGCGAGGGCAGTCCGCAGGACAGACCAAGGCAAGTCTTTCTGCGAATAGTCAGTAGTGCTGTAATGCAAAGACGTGTTTTATGGCAGGAAAAGTGAAAAGGCACAACTTAAGAACTTGAAAAGAGGCCATTCAACCCATCTAGCTAGTTTGGTTGCTCGTAAAATGCCTCTTTAACTCACAGCTGAAGCTCAGCAGGGCAGATCAAACCCAAGGGAAATGCTGCTGCAGGTTCACTTGAGATATTCTGGTGTATGTTGCTCTGCCTGCAGGCAGTACAGCTCCCGTGCGGACAAGAAGACAATGACCCGACCCAACAACCTGGACAGGTCCCGGCTGGAGTTCCTGAAGAAAAGCATCGTGAGTGGAGCGCCCACAGGACGGGCTCCTGTTCAAGGAAAACATTTCAGTCGGAAGGGGTGATCTGTGGCCCTGTTGTGTGGTTACAGACGATGTTTTGTTTCTGGGCACATAGATTCATCTTTAAAATAAATGTGAGATGTCTCATTTTACCCTTTTCAGTGCTGTATCACATGCTTCTACATGGTCATCAACAAATATTTTTAGCCACAACATTTTTAGCCACTCTAGGCTAAGAGATGACATTGCCATAGGAGGACTCTGTCCACTGCAGGCTGTCACACTGTCCACTGCTAGCTGTGTCTCTCTGTCCACTGCTGGCTGTGTCTCTCTGTCCACTGCAGGCTGTCTCTCTGTCCACAGCTGGCTGTGTCTCTCTGTCAACTGCTGGCTGTGTCTCTCTGTCCACTGCTGGCTGTGTCTCTCTGTCCACTGCGAGCTGTGTCCTTGCCCATCGCTGGGTGTCTCTGTCCGCTCTGTCCTAAGCAGGCTGTGACTTCTGCCCTTCTCCAGGTCATGCTGGCCAAGCAGGCACTGCGTGTGCGCCGGAGAGTCACCAACAGGACCGTGAGGGAGAAGCTGGGAGATGTCAGGAAGATCTTGCGGAAGATACGATTCTATTCCAAGGAGGTGAGATATTCAGTTTCAGCACGAGCATGATCTACTTTTTAATTTATGTTGTATCCATTTTCTATAACAAAATATGTAGTAACCTCTTTCTCTAGATATGGGAATATGTGTGGGAATACATATGCACAGTGTAGAGCAGGACTGTGACGACCTCTTAGGAGATATTTCATATGAACGTTTCACTCACAGTGAGTTTACCGACATCCATCATCCCAGAACAAGGACTTTTATTTGGCATTTTGATGTATTGTTATTATTAACTGCCATTCTCTTGTGTGTTTTGCAAATTATGTTGTTTGTGTTTTAACTGATATGAATCAACATTGTTATCCTTGTCTCCCGTTTGTGCTGCCATTGTGTGTCGGGTTACAGTCCCTGACTCGGCTCTGGTCTAACTGGAGTGTTAACTGTCCATCAAGAGGAATTCTAGGGAGAGCTCTGTGTATTTAACCTGGTACTCATGGTGCAGCAGTCAGTCACTCTCTGTCCTTGAATCTCACCTTGTTAGATTGTGTGTATATTAATTGAATGCTTGTATAGGTAGAGGTATAACGCTTATTAATAACTGACATAAATAAGGTTACCAAAAATTTGTGTCATGTATCGAGGCACCGACAGCTGAATGTATAAACAGCATGTCACAAAGCTGGAGGACTTGGCTAAGTGTGTTATTGAATGTGTTATTACCATAGCAATAACACCTTTATTACACAGTAATAAAGCGAGCCGGTTTCTGAAACGACGGTGGTGTGTCCCTCAGCCCCAGAGCACGCTGCCGGACGTGTTCCTGTGGATGATCAGCAGCGGGAGGCGGGTGGCGTACGCCCGGATCCCCACGCACTCCGTCCTCTACTCCGTGGTGGAGGAGGAGAAGGGCAAGGACTGTGGGAAGCTGCACACTGTCTACATGAAGGTGATTCCGCTTCTCCTCCAACGCCACCTGGTCGACGCCTGGCCTCCCATCTTCCTTTAGCACAGCACTGCGAGGGAGACGCGCCACTCACATTCAGCACAGCCGGGAATTTAATGTAAAAGCGATACGTATTTGACGCACGCTGATCACTCCGTTCAGGGTTCTCAAGGTCAGATCTCGGTATTGAGAGTTTTTTTTGTTTCTGGCTGAGAAGCTTGAAAATGGAATGTGTAAAAACCTCTCTCTTTCTCTTTTTCCCTTTAGATCTGACCCTATAAACTCGGGATCCGTGTTTGCAGGATCAGAGACATAAGCTAAACAGTGAACCTTTAGGAGAGGGGAAAGCGGGTCACATATTTTCCAGTAACAAAATCAGCTTTTTCCTGTTCCAATGCAGGGCCTTCGGTGTCTGCAGAAGTCTAGTGGTGAAGGGAGTAGGGGACTACGGGAGGGACTAACAACTTAAAAAGCAGCTAGAGGACCTTGAACTGTTCCCTGCTCTCTGATTAATTGTTCTCCATCTTTACATTTCCAACACAGCGAATTTGATGTGTCTGAAATCGGTCTGACGTGTTTCGGTCCCCTGTCCTGCCCCAGGTGCCCGGGGGGCCTGTGGGGGAGATCTTCGCCAAGCTGGAGGTGTACGTGTGGCTGGGTGTGACCAAGTATGTGAAGAACAGCCTCAGCAGCCTGCCGGCGGACTTCAGACCTCTGTATGAGGAGGCCACCTACACCACCCTACTGCCCATGAGCATGCCCCCAGCCAGACTGTCCTGCGAGGGTGAGTGAGCCGCTGGACTGGACACTGCACCCGATTCATTAAAAATCTGGAGTGTGTGGTTCGGCAGCCGAACAAGGTCCAGTGTTGGAACCAACTCTTTGTGTCCAGGCAGCTGCAAGACCGGTGACTTCTCAGCTTGGAGGGCTTACATGGAATGTTCATGGCTCCAGCCAGCTGCAAACATACGCTGCTTTTTTGGGACAAAGGCTATCGCTAAAATAGGGGTCAGAGTTAACTCCCAAATTCTGCTTCCCGAGGATGAATTTATCTGTGGGCTTCCAGTCCAGCTGGGCTCACATCTTCAATCAGGCCTAATTAGACCAGTTCGCCAGCTTTTCCCAGCTCTTTAAGTGATGGTGCTTCAGAGAATCCTGGAAATCCTGCAGACAGCTGCGTGGAGGGTCTTTCAGCTCCTATCCGTCTCGTCCCCACAGATAGTCGCTACTTCCAACTGCGCGCCCACCTGTACCAGGCGCGGGGCATCCTGGCCGCCGACGACAATGGGCTCTCCGACCCCTTCGCCAAGGTGGTCTTCTCCACTCAGTGCCAGGTGACCAAGGTGAGTCTGTCTTACGGACTCTGCCACAGCTCTTGGGTGGCAGGTACACCCCTGTCAGGTGGGGGTCCTCCCGGCTGACTCCAGGGACTGACGGGGCGCTGGAGGCTTGCAGAGCCGTCTGCGAGAGACGCGTCAGATTCCGCTCCCCTGCCTGCTTCAGACCTCAGACGGATCCGCAGAGGGGCGTGTTGGAGGAGCATTTCTGCGAGTCTCATTCTCCCCCGAGTGTGGAGACAAAAGAGTTGGCAATTCCACATCCCGATTCAGTAGTCGCTTAGCCCGACGCAGGGGTGCGGTGAGTCAGAAGCTAACCTGGCAGGCAAAGGGCGCGAGGCAGAATATAGCCTGGACAGGATGCCAGTCTGTCATGGGGCAGTGTAAACCAGCCTGCGTGTTTCTGGGTATGGCACTGGGAGGAATGCAGATTCCACAGAGGACACACCAGGCTGAGACCAAACTCAGGACCCAAGCGCTAAGATGCAATGGCGCTAACCACCTCAAGACCATACTACCCATGACTATGATGACGACGACGACGATGATTTTATTATTATGCTGCTCTAAAGCACCTCTGTCACCCTCTTACTTTCTCTCTGACTTCTTCATCTATCTTTCAATATCTCTCCACCCCCCGCTTCCTCCTTTCTTTCGTCTCCTTACACTCTCCTCCCTTGTTGTCCGTCTCTGTCAACCTCTCCTGCTCACTGCCCACCCCTCTCTCGCCGCCGTGTGCCTCAGGTGTTAGAGGAGACTCTCTCCCCGACCTGGAACGAGCTGCTGCTGTTCGACCCGATCCTGATGGAGGGCAGTAAGGAGGACCTGAGAAGCGACCCCCCCGTCATCATCATCAGCATCTACGACTATGACAAGTTTGTAAGCCATGTGATCACCGGCTCTTCCGGTACAGTAGATGGCCGGGTTTGAAAGGAAGAAAGACACCCGGCTGTCTGCTTGTAATGTGAGAGTTGTTCAGCAAAATTCATGTTGCATTGCTCAGAAAGCATACAGAAAACCAGAAAAATATCAGAACAAATTCGGCCATTTTTAAGCATGGAATTTGTCAAAATACGATCTCAAGATTGTTTTTTCAGATAAAAAACCCATAAGCATCAACCTACTGTGCCGCCCTAACTTTACAAAACAGCGGAATTGTCCACATTTCCCACGACGCACTGTCTGGTATACATGTCTGCCAGCTGAACTGTAAATGCAGAGGTCTACTCTACCAGACTGCTGCTTTTCCACCCCTCCTCTTTTTCACTGTAGTCCCCTGTTCAGTGTCCTCCCTGGGGTCACTGGGGTAATTGAGGTCAATGGGCCCGGACTGCTCTCCTGTTATTGACCTGCTTGACGCCCTGTCCGCAGGGCAGCCCGGAGTCCATCGGCCGAGCCTTCGCTGACCCGGAGCTGAAGTTCACCGAGGAGCCCTACAAGAAGCCCTCGCTGCAGTTCTTCGACATCAGCAAGGGCAAGGCGCAGGCGGGGGAGCTGCTGGCCGCCTTCGAGCTCATCGAGCTGGACTACTCCGGCTTCGGGGAGGTGAGGGGCCCCTGCTGGCCGGCCAGTGAGACAGTGACACCAGTGCACGGACCGTCGAGGTGTCCGTATTGCTCACACACCTTTATCACGGCAGTGGTGCAGATACAAACTCTCCCGTTTACTGTCCGTACAACCAAAATGATGTTACGCGAGCTCATTTTGTGGAGTACACAGACTTGCATGGGCAGTTTCTCCTTAATAAACCAGATGGTTTCTGATTTTGCCTGACATTTTGAAGTGCAAGCTTTTGTTTTATAACTGCTTTTCTCCACAGTAGCGCAGGCTTTACAGCTCCTAGACAGAATGACTGCTCTTTGCAAATTCCTGAGGTCTGTACGGCACAGGTGCCATGTGTACCCCCTATACTGTTCATCTGGGCACACTCATGTCTGTCCCTCGGCCCAAACTTGCCACTCAAGACCTTGTCTTTCATACCTGGGCACATCACCTGCGTCTTGTCATCAGGGTGTTAAATCGCTCGTTTGAGCTGCAATTCAGGAGCTGTGGAGAAGATCACCCCCTGCTCTTCTCCCTGTTTTCCCATCAGCCCTCTCTCCCGGCGGACGTGGACCCCAGGGAGCCCGAGTACCTGCCTGAGGAGAGGCATTACATCATCCCCCAGGGAGTCCGGCCCGTGCTGAAGAAGTTCAGGATCGAGGTGAGCGAGCTCCGCCCGAGTCGGCCAGCAGGGTACCTTACTCCTCCGAACGGCGTAAATGGCCGTGGGACCGGAGGCTCTTGGTGTGTCGCCAGTGGGGTCTCTCCCAGGGCGTTGGCCAGTGAGGGTCGCCCGATCGGCTCGGCGACGGACAGCGCAGGCGAGGGGCCCGGCTGGGGCTGAAACGGCGCTGTGCTTTCAGGTGCTGTACTGGGGTCTGCGGGACCTGAGGCGGGTCAACCTGTTCGAGGTGGAGCGCCCCCAGGTCCGGATGGAGTGCTCGGGGCAGAGGATCGAGTCCGAGGAGATCCAGAGCTACAAGCTCAACCCCAACTTCAGCCAGATCGTCAAGCACTTCGACGTGGTGAGCTGCCCGAGACACCGCGGGCCGATCGGCGCGAGCAGGCGGAGGGGCCGGCATGGGCAGGGTTCAAGATGGACACTACACGGGCGGCGCCGGGGCACAGCGGTTAGCGTTGCTGCCTCACGGAGCCGGGGCCTGGGTTCAGCTCCCAGCGCGCTGTCTGAGTGCAGTGTGTCTGTTCTCTATGTGTTTGAGCGGGTTATCATCCACAAAGACATGCTAATTGGCTTCTGGGAAAACTGGCCCTGGTGTGAGTGTGTGTGTCTGCCCAGTGGTGGACTGGCGTCCTGCCCAGGATGTATCCTGCCTTGCGCCTGTGGCTTGCTGGGATAGACCCCAGCTTCCCCAATGACCCTGACAGGGATAAAGAGGTTAGAATATAAACTACAGAAGGAATCCTTTAACCCAGCATCCGCCCTGCAGAACAGAAAGAATTTAAAATGATGGAAAAGAATATAAAAAAACACCTTCAGTAACCCAAGATGCTGGTTGTGTCCGGTAAGCGGCATGTCTGCCAATCCACTGACCCCCCCTCCTCCCAGGAGCTTCCGGAGCTGGTGTACCTGCACCCCCCCCTCACCATCTTCGTCTTCGAGCGGCGCGCGTTCGGCCGGCTGGTCCTGGTGGGCACCCACGTGGTCCAGACCCTCATGCACTTCGCCCCCAAGGAGCTGGACGAGTGGAAGGAGGAGGCGGAAGAGGAGGAGCCTGAGGGTGAGCCGCCCGGCCGCGGGGGGGGGCGGGGCTTCCGGCGTGACGGAGCCGGCAGGGGGAACAGTGCTGAGGTGGGCTGTGTGCCTGTCCGTCTCTCTAAGAGCCCCGTTTTAAACAATTAGAGGGCCAGAATGAACCCCTTTTCCTCTTGCTCTGAAACCTTGAACTGCTCACCCAAGGAGACAGACAGGGCAACCAGAGGCGCCACGAATTCAGCGCCGCGTTTTCTCTCCATTTACCCTCCGCTGGGCACAACGATGCCCGCTGAAGTAATGTTGACTCAACCACCTGGCCGAACAGGAGGAAGAGGAGGAGGTGACACACGTGTCACGTGTGGCCCCGTTTAAACATTCCTGTGATCAGTTCTACCAGGCCACCCGATTGTAAACACCATCTAGGTTGCAAACACGTCCTTCGGCTAGATTAAACTGAGATGTCGCAAAGAAAAAAAACACACACTCGCACGCACGCACGCCAAGTCCCACACAGCAGCAGTAGCGTGATCCCGGGCGGGGAGACGGTGCAGTTACACTGAGCGTCCAGAGGAGGGCGGCAGCGCGCCGCGGAGCCCGCAGTGTGCGCGGCTCTAGAGGGACTGCAGCGCCTCTAGATCACTAGCGAGTGACTGGATTTAATTCCTGATTAAATCAAATTCACACTACATTCAAAGTTAGTGTGGTCAGATGATCACCCCCCCCCCTTGGGAAGAAAGTGTGGCTTTAATCACAACATTACATGTTTATTTTCTCGTTCGTTCATTTTTAAAGCCCTATCGCGCTTCATCCATCTCAGTCTCTTGAGTTTCCCGAAGCGGCCGAGCTGTGTTCCGCTGCTTCGGTGCGACACTTCTGCAAAACTCCCACTCCTTTGGTTTCCACGGTTTTACTTCACTTGTATCGCGCCAGTCGATCCGCACAGATGTGTGGTACCTTTTTTTTTTTCCGGAACCAAACCAAACCAAGGAAAACTTCATGTGCAGGGCTTCAGAAAAATCCAGCAATGGAGAATTAATTGGAGAAATTTGGAGCGCATTGTCTACGGAAAATTGCATCGCTGCCGCTGTGACTGTGCCCGGGCAGAGTCAGCAACGCTGCCCCAGAGAGCAAAACAGCTTGTTTTTTTGTCACCAGGAATAAATGAACAGAGGGACTGTTTTGTCAGCAGGGTCTTTGTGAGTGGCTATCTCCTAAGCCAAGCTCTGGTCCACAGAGCAGGGGCCCAGTCTGTGTGTGCATCACTTAAATTCCCCAAAGCCAGTGTCCCTATGCTCAAGTCGGCCTGGAGAGAGGGGGGATGTCGGGGCACATACCTGAGATAGCAGGAGTTCTATGAGGAGGTACAGAGTTTCGAAATTGCAACAACAGCAGCAGAGGAATGACCTCATCAACAAAATCAGTGTCCCCACGCAGCTCTGGCTAAACATGACTTGATACTTCTCCCCTAGAGTCACCCAGCACCTGCCTGAAACTGCAGTGACAACAGGTGATTCCTCCTGATACACAGGACACTTGAATTGTTGACATTTTTCAATTCTATTACCCTGGACATAAAAAAAGGGTACTGGGCGTTATCCTTACCTTACAATGCCAGCTTTTTACAGACAAAAAGAGCAGGGAAGAATCAACAGAAAAGTTAAGTGTGCTCTGTCTTTGATTTCCTTAGACAACAGGCTCCTGGTTCATATTCCCCGTAGTCCAAAGACTGTAATTCCAGAATCCTTCACCACTCCTGGGTGGATGAGGACATGAGGTCATGTTTCAGTTTTAAAATGCACTTTTCAGTAGGTGTGAAGTCAAACAAATAGTTTTGCCCACATTTTCGTGTAAGCCCCTCATACATTTCCACACTTACTGTAGAAGTATGGACTCAATGGGCCATAACACAAATAAGGATGAAAAGAGCAGGGCCGCTCAGGAGATAAACTCTCACGTTACCCTGGTTGTGTTTTCCTCTCAGCAAGGAAACCGCCGAAGAAGGTGACTCCTCTGAACACCATGATCAACATGGACCTGCAGGGGCTGTCCGTCAGAGACACCAAAATCCCCATCAACCCCATCAACCTGGTGACGGTGAGTCTGCCGGAGTCCTGGCTCAGTGCAGGCTGACCAGCAGAGAGTCAGCACGCGCGCCCTGCTGCTATCTGCACAGCCTGGCTCTGCCAGTGCCTTTGAGGACCTGGGATACTTATCAGCTCCCCATAGTCTTCTCAGTCAAGTCTTGAGCAACTCGGTTCAGTTAGAAGCTGTTATCTTTTTTTATGGATCACTGAAGTAACCCTAATGACCTATTTCCACACTGACATCCTCATGCTCCAGGCTTCTAGCTGGAAGGTTGTGGGTTTGAATCCCAGGTGAGACACTGCTGTTGTATCTGTGACCAAGACATTTCACCTAAATTGTACCAGCACATTACCCGTCTGTATAGATGGGTGCAAATGTCAGTTGCTAAAGTCAGTGGATAAAAGTGTAAGCCAAATAAATTATGCCTAAGGGCAGATTTTTAAATCTCACTGGCCTGGAAGCTTTTTTAAAACATCCAGCTGCCCCATGATGTTTTCTACAGTTTCCGTTTGCTCCCCAGCCTCAGAGCTGCCTCTACTTTCTCTCGGAGAGCTTTCATTCAGCGGCAGCTGTAGATTTGCTTCAGAAGGCCCTGCTGGAACCCATGCCGCTGTTCGGATAATCACTAGTTTCTCATTGCCATAAAGCCCCCTGGGGAGCATTAACAATCACATGCACAACGGGGCCTTCTGTAAAACTGTCCTGCTGCTTTTACATTTGGCTCTTGCGTCTGTACTGCTGTGTGATTCAGGATTTCTTTTATTGCTTTGTTTTAATGTACAGCGTTTGATTGGCAAAGAACACCTGCTTCTGTGTTTGTATACTATAAAGAGGCACGTTCCAGGTGCTGGGTCGCTGAGCATGCAGGACACTAAAACTGTTCTTTTGGTTGATTGTGCAAATTGGGGATCCTGTGCAACGCTATAAGTCTTCCCCAGGCTCCCCTGAAGAAAGTTCCCCTGAAGATTCTGAAGGAGGAGGAACTAGAGGAAGAGGAGCCGGAGAAGGAGGAGCTGGATTGGTGGTCGAAATACTACGCTTCATTGGCTGAGTTGGAGAACCAGGTGGGAAAAGCCAGCCAATGGGAGGACTGACATAATACCACCTTGACTAGATGGGTGGCAAGGCTTGTTTTCATTTGCAATGTTCTGAGGTTTAAAGCATTTTTCAAGTTATTTCTGTTCCTGCTCTACTCGGTGAGTGAAAGAGCACTAAAGCAGGAATTGTAAAATGAAGAGTACTCCCCATTCACGTATGAAATCCAAGTCAGGTATAATGCCAACAACTGGGAGCACAATATTTCTATCTCAGTAACAAGTATACGTGCTTGAGCTCTTCTTTCTCTTTTCAAAGGTTTTATTTCTTGTAGTTTTTCTCCAGCCTTGATAACTGTTACAGTGCACTGCCTCATGTGATTACAGAATGCAGAGGATGACGAGGAAAATGAAGAACAAAATGAAGGAGGTATGGTCTTCAGGGCTGAGGCAGTCAGGCCACATTTCTTAGAGGCATTGCACCCCTTCAGCCTGATTTAAAAAACAGGGAAACTGGGTACCCCTTCCATAAGCTGCCTGTGGAAAAGGCTTAGGTATCTTTCGATGAACATTGTCGATGTGGGAAAGCAATAATTCAGAATCATTCAGAATACTCACCACTTAGAATATTCAGTGCACCATTTCTCACCATAAGACAAAAAAAAAACATTGTTACCCTGACCTTTGGAAAAGAAATTAAAATGCTGATCAGTTGACTTTGCTGACATCCGGAAAGGTTCTGAGGTTTCGGTTTCCCTCTCCAGATGGTGGAAATTTAAACTTGGCTGCAATAGACGCAGAGGAGGACAACGTGATCATTGAGGTGGAGCCCCCCAAACCGAAGAGGAAGATGATAGCTACCCTGAGGGTGAGTCTTCGCTCCGCGGGACAGGCTGAGGAGGGTCGAATGGGAACCCAGGAGCAGTAATTGAAGGACTGGCCTGGTCAAAGGTCAGGCTTCAGCCTGCTGCCTGGTAACTCTGTGGCGTGTTTGTGTGTCTGCAGCTTTACAAATCGGAGCTGGAGCAGGAGTTCGAGGACTTCATGGACTGGCTGCACACTTTCCCCATCTTCAAAGGGAAGGCCAACTGCGAGAACGAGGAAGAAGACGAGGAAGAGCGAACCATGGGGAAGTACAAGGTGCTCGATCCTGCACTTTGGTCTGAGCACACAGAAGAGCCACATCCCCCTCTCAGTGTCCACAGCCTCCCTGACAGCAGCTTCTTCTCCAACAGACCTCATGCTCTCTCTCTGCTCAGAGCCATCGACTGACCAAGAATCGGACAAACACCCACGAAAATCCATAAGGAATCCTAGTCTAGACTAACACAGATGTCTCGGATTCAAATAATTTAAACACAACCTTTGGAAGTCTGTCAAAGCTAGGAAAACAAACTGACCTTTACTGCGTTAACAAGCTGTAATCCAGAGGAGTAAAGAGCCACATTTATGCGATTAACTATACATTCCCTGGGGTAGCCATCCCTGAAAAGCCATTGTTCTGTCCCACAGCGGTATTGTTCTGTGACTGAAGGGGGGTTGGTCTTAATACCTCTGTATTTGCTGTGTCTCTCACTCTTCAGGGCTCCTTTTTGATTTATCCCATTTCAAAAGAAGACGAGGATGCAGAATGTCAGATTACCAAAGGGATCCCCAAAAACGTGCCCATCAAGGTCCTGGTGAGGGTGTACATGGTGAAGGTAAGCACAGAGCCACGAATCGGCACACGTGCACACAGGGCTTGCTTAGCTTACTGGGGTTCCAACCATGACCCCAAGATCTGATTTTAGGGGTCTCCAGGTTACGGCCGTGCAAGTTTGAGTCAGGGTAGGGTGCCCTGTGACCCCAGTGACTACCTGCACCCCTGTCAGTGCAAGCCCCAGTGGGAGTCACTCCTCCCACTCAACTACTTTCGGGCTCCAGGGGCAAAGACACCCATTGGCTCCGCAGTGTATATTTTGGAGCAGGTATATAAAGTCCTCACCCCCAGCGTGCTGCGGCAGCGAGACAACATTGCAGACTGCCAGACAATCGTACCTTTGATTCCAGGCCGGAAGGCAGGCGTGAAAGGTGCTACCAGGATTTAAAAACCAACGTACAACTCTACTCATTTCCAAAATACTTTATTCATCCCCATGGGGGGCGAAACCCGCCTGTGACAGAGCGACGTCTCTGCGGCTCGCCATCGTGAGGGTCATGATCCCGTGAAGTTTGAAGGGAGGGGGGAGGGGGCAGGGGGGTCCATAATGACTTTTTAACGTCTTGCATTCAAACCCCAGGCCACCAACCTGGCTCCCACAGACCCCAACGGCAAGGCAGACCCCTATGTGGTGGTGAAGGTGGGCCAGCAGCACCTGGACAGCAAGGAACGCTACATCCCCAAGCAGCTGAACCCCGTGTTTGGAGAGTGAGTCCATGTGGACGCGGAGCACACGTGCTCACATACAGTACAGCAGCTGTCGGTCTCCTGCACTCCTTGCCTGGTGTCTGTCAGTCACTGGAGGAAATTTAGCTGCCTGTTTCAGTTCCCTAAACAGATACTTCCTTCTCCATTTCAATTCAGTTATTAATTCATGTTCTGTTTTTCCAAGCGTTAGAATTCTGAAGCACTTGCAGGGATAAAAAAAAATAACCATCTTGAAATTGTCCGAAGTGCAATACTTGGCACAAGCTATGTCACTGTCACGTGTGCAACCGGACTCCTCAGTCCAGATGCTGGTAGATTGGCTTCTGTGCACAAGACATCCCAGTGGATTTCCAGGCACACTCAGGCTGAGGGGTCCCGTGCTCCCCAACTTCTCCCCAGGGTCTTCGAGCTGACGGTGTCCTTCCCCCTGGAGACGGAGCTCACCCTCGCCGTGTTCGATCACGACCTGGTGGGCTCGGACGACATGATCGGGGAGACCCGGATCGACCTGGAGAACCGCTTCTACAGCTGGCACAGGGCGGGCTGCGGCCTGGCTCTCTACTACGACAAGTGAGCGGGGCGGGGGGGAGGTTGTGGTCCGCTGCCTTCCTTGGAGGTTCCTAAACCTCCCGGGATAGCGAAACCTCGGCCCACGTGCCAGCCGCAGGTTTTGTTTGCACGTTCCTTCTGCGCCACGGGTCCCCAGTCCTGGTCCTGGAGGGCCAGTGTGTCTGCAGGATTTCTAGGTCTCTTTTATTCTAAGTCAGCAACAGCACCTGAGAATCCGCTAAACTGGTTCAGTTCAGCCAATAATGAGTTGCTTTAGACAGCACAGCTGGCCCAAAACCCCTCTAGACATTCCAGTCCTCCAAGGGTAGGATTGGGAATTACTATTATTATTCCATGGGAAACTGTCATCAAGAAGCGGGTTTGTCACTTGCAGCAGGCGGATGGTTGTTTATCCTGGGCACAGACCACAATAGTAATAGACTATTGCTCTGCTTTCACATTGGCAAGCCCTGATTGCATGATGACTAGCCCTGATTGCACCCTGATGTGCCCTGACAAACCCTGATTGCATGTTGATGAGAATTGATTGTATGTTGATAATCCTGGCTAGATGAATCCTGATTGCTCATTGACAAGAACAGATTGCACATGTCCTACTTGCACGTTGACGAGCCCTGCTTGCACGTTGATGAGCTGATTCCATGTTGATGAGCCCTGCTTGCAAGTTGATAAGCTGATTGCATGTTGACAAGCCCTGCTTGCATGTTGACAAGCCCTGCTTGTACATTGACGAGCCCTGCTTGCACGTTGATAAGCTGATTGCATGTTGACAAGCCCTGCTTGCACGTTGATAAGCTGATTGCATGTTGACGAGCTCTGATTGGACACTAACAAGCCCTGGTTACATGCTGAAGAGTCTTGATCACACATTGATGAGTCCTGCTTGCATGTTGCCAAACACTGATTGCACATTGATAAGTCCTGCTTGCATGTGGATGAATGTTTCTTGCCTGCACTCAGTCTGTGTCTCCCTTCCATCACAGGGAAGGTTACAATCAGTGGCGAGATTCAAAAAAGCCATCGGCCATCCTGGCTGACCTGTGCCGGAAGAATGGTATCCCTTCTCCAGAATACCGGGAGTCAGAAGTGAAAGTCCTCAACAAGATATTTAAAGTCCCTAATGAGGCTTTTCCTGAAGGTCTGTTCTTTTGTCTCCTTAAACAGTGTTAGGATAACAGGAGCTGATCAGCAACCGTTTCTCGATTGTGAGGTTGCTTGTTCAATTGTTGAATCCTGACACTAAAGATGTGTATTTTAAACAAGAAAAGTTGCAGACCCCTTCCTTTAAAGTCAAGCTAACAATTTTATATACCATCTAAGAGGTTCTTCATACTAGAAGCTAAAAAATGTGTCACAGGACACATGTAATATATATGTGGAAGATGTACATGAATGATGACTCTTCTATGCATTATAAGAAAATATTTGAAAGGCATGTGAAGGGTCAGATCTCATTTTAAAGAGCGGTTTTTCTAATGGGCTGCAGAGTTGGTGAAGAAGAATAAGAAGACAGAGGAGGACCTGAACGAGCTGGACGAGCACAAGGCCCTGTGTGTGCTGCATCGCTGGGGTGAGATGAGGGAGTTCTGTGAGGGCGCCTGCAACCTGGTGCCTGAGCACGTAGAGGTCCGCTCACTGCTCAACGCCGAGAAACCTGGTCTGGCACAGGTGAGAGAGAAAATAGTGCAGAGGACCATGACTGTACTCACCTGTCACAGGTGAGAGAGAACACCATGACTGCACTCACCTGCTACAGGTGAGAGAGAACACCATGACTTTACTCACCTGTCACAGGTGAGAGAGAACACCATGACTTTACTCACCTGTGACAGGTGAAGGAGAACACCATGACTGTACTCACCTGTCACAGGTGAGAGAGAACACAACGACCGTACTGCACCTGTCACAGGTGAGAGAGAACACCATGACTTTACTCACCTGTCACAGGTGAGAGAGAACACCATGACTGTACTCACCTGTGACAGGTGAAGGAGAACACCATGACTGTACTGCACCTGTCACAGGTGAGAGAGATCTTTTGAAAAGACACTGATTGAATCCATATGTCGCTGAAAGCCCAATTTTACCTATGTTCTCAATAAAGCTGATCTATGTTTTTATGTTTAATTCTGTTGAGACACCTTCTCCATTACTCTGGCAAGCACCTCCCTGTTGCTTCTTGCAGGGTTACGCTCACATGTGGATCGACATGTTTCCTGTAGATGTCCCGGCCCCGCCCCCTGTCAATATCAAACCCCGCCTCCCCATCAGGTAAACCAATCGCGAATGATGGTTTTTGAGACTCCACTGTGTCAGTCAGCTGAAGAAAACGGGACACAAAAAAAAATCGATTTTCAATGTGTTTATTTTCAACCTGCTCAGGCAGCCATCCTTATCCTTAAAAAACAGTGGAACATCATCTTGTACCAGATGTGTTAACTGACGATGCCCGGCCGTGTTCTCGCTTCGCCACTTTCCCCAGCTACGAGCTGCGCGTCATCGTGTGGAACGCAGACGACGTCGTTCTGGATGACGTGAATCCCTTCACCGGGGAGCCTTCCAGCGACATCTATATAAAAGGGTAGGAGCTGCTCCTGTGAGTCACTAGAAATGAAGGAATCATAGACACGTGAGAAAGGGGAAAGTTCACACATTCAGAGTGGGCAGGGCGGGGCAGAGGGGAGAGGTGAGGGCAAAGATACATCTCTGCATCCCAGCGACACAGCGGAATTCTTCGATCCCCCGGTTCTCACTGGCACTGGGTCACCCCAGACTGGCATAGCTGCCTTGCAGCGTTGGGGCCCTGAGTATTTCTGGGGTGCCATCTGCGTGGAGTTAGGATGTTCTCCCCACGTTCATGTGGGTTTTCTTCAGATGCACTGGTTTCCTGCCACAGTCCAGAGACATACCGGGAGGTTAATTGGCCCTGGTCTGTATGCCCTGCAATGGACTTGCGTCCTGTCCAGGGTGTACCCCATCTTGCGCCAGTTGCTTGCCAGGATAGGCCCCAGCTCCCCCATGACTCTGAATTGGATAAAGTGGTTAGAAAACGGATTGGATGGATGGGTGGGAGGATAGATGGATGTATGGGATTCATTCATTCCCCCTGCTGTATCCTCACGTCTCCAATACACCCCCCCCCACCAGCTGGATAAAAGGACTCGAGGACGACAAGCAGGAGACGGACGTCCACTTCAACTCGCTGACGGGGGAGGGCAACTTCAACTGGAGGTTCGTCTTCCGCTTCGACTACCTGCCCACGGAGAAGGAGATCACCTACAAGAAGAAGGAGTCCATCTTCTCCCTGGAGGAGTCGGAGTTTCGGCAGCCCGCCGTGCTGGTGCTCCAGGTGTGGGACTACGACCGCATTGCCGCCAACGACTTCCTGGGTGAGCACACGGAGGGAGCCCGGCTCTGCCTCCGATTTTGCGCCTTCATTTGCTTTGTTTTCCTTAGGGAGCTGCACAAAAGCAAGGAACCGATTCTTAGGGAATTGATTGTCCGCTAAGCGACAGCTGACACCTCAGGGTTCTTGTACACCTGCCCACAGCAGCTCAGAGCAGCAGGCTGATGGGAGTGGCACTGTACAAATACTCTGGCAAGCCACACCGTGGAGGCTGAAGTGCTGAAACATTACACAGCTCAGCCTAACGCTCAGAAAGAAACAGTGTGTAACCGCTCAACAGGAGGGTCTGATGGGATGGCTGGCACTGCTCTGACCTGTATGATTCTCTCCTGCTCTTGGTGAGATTGAGCAAAGGCCACCCCCCCTTCAACTGTCGTTCCCTGCGTCCCAGGCTCCATCGAGCTGAGGCTGAACGACATGGTGCGGGCGGCCAAGTCCTCGACGCAGTGCAGCGTCAAGATGGCCAAGGACAAGGCCAGCCCCCGCTTCTCCATCTTCAGGAGCAAGAGGATGAAGGGCTGGTGGCCGCTGATCAAGCTGAAGAGCCAGGAGGACATCGAGCGCGAGGAGCGGGAGGCCGAGGAGGCCCGGAAGAACAAGAAGAAGAAGAAGAAGAGGAGCAAGCGGGGCGAGATCAAGCCGGAGGACCTGCAGTTCGTGGACGCCAGCGGGAACACCTTTGTCCTGATGGTAGGTCAAAGCGGAAACCGCAGGCTTGGGCTTCGGTTGGACCAGAAGTGGAGTCCGCGTGCTTCGCATTCATAACGAGAGTGATGGCGCAGGCGGGAGGTTTAGGGAAAGTTTTGGATTCCTGCATGGGGATGCCTGCGATGGCGCAGGTGGAAAGTTTAGGGAAAGTTTTGGATTCCTGCATGGGGATG